GGGGTTTGTCACGCCCTAGCTGCTAGCTGTGTCTTCAGAGCAGATGGGACAGTGTGTATCCGCTGCTGGGAAGCCTTGACTTCGAGCTGTGTCGCCTGTAACCTGTAGCCAATCAAACAACACGGCGCGCATCGAATGGCTCGAGCTTACGCGCGTTCAAGCGGCGAGTCGACGGGTACCCTAAGACGGACACGAAAACGTGTTTTCTTGCAGCGATTAAAAGAGAACGTGCAGGGGGGGTTTACGAACGACTACCCGAAGACTTGACGAGCGAAGAGAAAATGAGGCAGAACAGTGGTGCTGAGTACGAACTGCCACATTGGGAAAGGGAGGGGGGTCTAGCCTGCGCGACTTTTTCATACCAAGATAAAAGTTATGGGCTTGTGAGTCATGACTACGCCCAGAAGGATATCTTTTGTCATAGTGACCCGATCTTCGGTACTGGGTAGTGTATGCGTACAGCAAACTAAAAGCAACCTGTTATGTCAATATAATACCCCAATGAGCTAAGTCTAGGTCGTACAGGATGTGCAACCAGTGCATGAAGCTAGAGAGGGCGCACACGAATATCTGATATCATAGTTCAACTATACCCATCTCCTGTCCTGACCAGGTCGTGTAACTGGGGCGCACAGTTGATGCCTCGCAAGCGTCCAGCACAAGTCATTGCTGCCGCCTAAGGCACTGGCGATTACCTCTTCGAGTTCGAAGGATGAAGCAACGAAGCTGATACGCATTTATATGTCAAGTGGAAATGCGCAACATGGCAAACTCCTGCCGTGAATGCGCGTTTTCCAAAGTCATACCTTTCCTAACCGTAAATATGCAAGGCTGCTGCACGCTATGTCAACACAGACAGAAACAAAATCAGTAATTGCCGACAATGCGGGAATTGTTATATTTGTAAAAACAACGGTCGATAAAACATATTGTCCCAGCGATCGAGCCTTCTTCCTCTCAATTACTTCCTGGGACACGGATGTTCGCTTGTATTGGCAAAACCAGTTCCACTGTCTTCCGCTATCCACGAGCCCATAAAACCATTAGAGAGTTATGGTAATGCGCTGTCGGTGCGGGTTGTTCCTGTACGCAGGCAATAAAGCCGTCATAAAACAACCACAGTTCAGCATGCGCAATCACTTTTTCTGCATGAAACGCGGCATTAGGACGTAGTGCTTATCATAA